CCATTATGAAGTTGAGACATCTTCTTCATTAAGTGTCGTATATAAAAGGGCCATCTTTTATAATTCATGTTTGATTCAAAGATCCATGAAATTAATAAAGCATTTCTAAAAATGCAAAAAGTCAAAAGGGTAATACACAAACCCGTGAATTAAAAACAAGACCTTGGATTTTTAAAAAAAAAAGCAAAAAGAGTATAACAGAAACTCGAAAGGATTAAGTTAAACCGAAAACTTTATAATATTAAGTTAAAACTAAGTATAAACTTAGTTATAAACTGATTGTCATTTTTACAAAAAGCCCCGAAAAGACCTGGGGACTTGATGTAAGCCCAACTTACATCAACAGTTGCTTTGTCTTCAAAAGCCTCATAGTCTTTCTCCCATTGTTCGATATCGGCCCTTAGCTCATCTCTCTCAACCACGACAGCATCATAAGAAGCCTGCAGAGGGGCAAGGGATCTTTCCAAAAATTGAATCTTGTCTGAAGATTCACGGAGGTCTTCTTGAGTCTGAGTAAGTGGTTGCACAAGTTCACCAGCGTAAGCCTCCATTTGATCCAACAAAGCCTTCAAGCTTCTTATCTCTTCAGTAGCATGGGAAAGCTGTTCCGCAAAGGAAGACTCCAAGATGCTTTTATCCTTACCTGCCTGATCTGATGTTGCCTTCTATATGGCCAATTTCACTGCAATTACTCTGATCTACTACTCCAAGGCACATCTCTCTTCCTCTACTGCATCCATATCAAGTTGAAGACTCTCGAACTGCTCCTTCCAGTTGTTAGCCTCGGTATGATAGTCATTTGCTTATTGCTCCATATGAACGATTCTTTTCATTAATTTTGTGCCGATAAGGTTGATTTGCATAAAAGGAGAAGTTAGATACGGTAAAAGATATGAAAAGAATGAGGGATGATATAAAGTCTACCTTCAGGGACGAGTGCACAATCTCGTTCATCCAAGTTAAGGAGTTGTGACTTTCCAACTTAGACTTCTCAACCGGGCCTATCACGGGCTTTAACCATACATCCGCCTGGCCTGACTTCTTTAAGAGGCTACCTCCCGAAGGAACCTCTATCATTATTTGCCTCATCACCCCACTACTAAAATATCCTACTTCAATAATAGAAGGCACGGAAGTAGGGGTAGATGAAGGAGCCACGGATGGAATAGGCTGGGGAACAGAAACAGTAACGGGAGCAGTAAACGAAAGTTCCACAGGAGCAGACAGAGGGAAAATAGCAAGAGGTGCTTCCTCTGAAACTGTGCCAAAGACTTGATGGAACAGTTGTTCAATTGATTCATTAGCAGGAGAGGGAGTTGCATCTTCAGGAGCGGAATGCTCTGATTCAGGTACGGGAGGATCAGCAACGGGAACAGACTCATCGTCAGATACGACCCTCCTTCTTCGCGACCTCCGATCAGCGAACCCTCCTCCGGTTCTTCCTCATCCTCCAAGGTCTGGGACCCACTTGCCTTCCTTTTTGACGAAGAGGAGTTAATAATGATTTCTTGGGCCTTAGCCAAAGAAAGTTTTGAAGCAGACACAGCAGCAGCAGAGATTCCACGAGCAGAAAGCCCTAACAAATGAAAGGGATCAGAAAAGCTCGAAAAGAAAAAGAAAGGAGATAAAAAACCTTACCATGGGTTTTCACCTTCCAACCAAACTTCGACGAGAGGAATTTCCAAGAACGTTCTTCCATAAGAGCAATCAATAGTAATTTTTCTACCCAATCACGAAAACCGGAGACTTCCTCGGCGGTTCCCATGGTTGCTGTAAAAGAAAAAGAAACAGTCACGGTACTGGTAATTTATCAAAAATAAAGAAGGAAAGTGAGCAAAACTGTACTCACGTGCAAAGTTCCACTTCTCATGGAAGGGGAGATTTTCTTCACCTACCAAACCTGCAGTAGGGACAGCAACATATCGGACATACCATACTCTATCCTTGTCATCATCAAGTATAACTATAACCCTTTTACTCCTAGCCGCGAGAGTAAAAACTCCTTGGCAGAATAGCATCGGGGAATAGAGATGAATAAGATGATGGAAAGTAAAAGGAACTGAAGCTAAATTGGCCAAATACCTAAGGCATGCAACTGCCCTCCAAACAAGAGGACCGATTTGTCCTAAACAAACATTGAAGAATCGACAGAATTCTATGATGACAGGGTCGATGGGAGGCTTAAATCCTAAAGTAAAGGGATAAGTGTACACAAAAGAATACCCAGTTCTGTAAGAGGTTATTCTCTGATTGTCTTTAGGAACTACGACTGGAAAATCAGATTTCCAACATCAATCTCTACGCACGAGTGACACTAAACCCTCTGTTATTTGGGTAGGATAAAGGTCAGCACGATCTTGCGATGACATGGAAGAAAGTTGTTTACTAATGGCCTCACTATCCTTTATAAAAGAAAACTCGGCAGGGACAATCTCATCAACTCTTGGCTCATGAAGTGGTTCGTTAGGTTCCCTACTCTTAGAAGAAGATCTAGAAGCCCTAGCCCTCGAAGAAGACGAAGAAATATTAGACTTAAAAGATGGTGGAGGAGTAATATTACGAGAAGAAGAAGAACCCCTGAAAGGTGTAAAACTTAAACTTCTTAGCCTACCACCCCTCCTACTCCGGATTGGAGCAGAAGAAGGAGATAGTTCGTCTATAATGATAACTTTTTTGGGTTGCTGGCTTGAAGAAGACATATTTACGACAAAGAAGAATTTACAAACAATGAAGAGAGTTAGAAGTTTTTCGTGAAAGCAAAGGAAAGAAAAAGGGGTATTTATACTCGGAGGCGACCGTCAAAAAAGAAAAAAATGGAAAAAATAGTGATGTGAAAGTCATAATTGAAACTGTCACTTCGTGACGGATGCAGCCGCAAAAAACCCTAAAAGGCGCTGAATAATTGCAGAACCAATCTGAGAATGCCACGTGACGCGATCATTAAATGGAAGTGACAAGCGACGTATACATTCAAAGACGGATGCGATGGTACAAGTGAAGTGGCGGCAAAAAATTTCCGCCATAAATGAGTATCCACTTACCAAATATTTAATCGATAAATAAAAGGTAAGTGGGGGACTATATGTATTGGTAAAAAATAGACTTCACACGTGTAATATTTTTATGACAAGGCGATCCATGTGGAGCAATGGAAACATGACAGTTGGTCACAAATTTACAAAGAGGTACGAAACAAAGAGGAACGGAATAACATATCCACGAGACAATTAGATGCGGGAACCTCAGTCTAATTAAGGAGTTGAAGAGGCACGGTCAGAATGAACCAAGGCAGAATAAAGGGCAGATTCAAAGATCTTCAATCAATGAGCCAACGTTACATAATCTTCACGCAACAGCTACGATTACCTAAATGATATTATTAGTCATTAATGCTCAATCGTTAAGAAGAGTAGGCGTTATATTAAGAAATTCCCTATAAAAGGGAAGAAAATATCACTTGTACAGACACGTTCGAACCACTAGTGAAATACACTTACTTCTACGCATTCTTATTGCTTTCTTATTACAAGTCTAATTATTTCTATCAAATTTTCTTGATTATCAGTAACCCGAGTTCTTCTAAAATATTAGTTTTGACCGAAATTCCTATTTTCTGGTTAAACAAACCCGACATTACATATATAGAAATTTTAGATATTTAACATATAAATATACTTATAGTGGTTTAATTTATAAATATTTCTTAAAAATTTCATAATTTTCTCTTTTAAGGTATTATTTGAAGGTTGGACTTAGAACTTTTGAATGTTCCAATAAGTTTTATAGCCATTAATTCTAGTAAATTAAATAATGCTAACAAAATTCCAAACCAAAATCAAATCAATACTAATGCTAACGAAAGACATTCAATTCAATACTACGAACGGGAATGTATTGAATATCTATTTTTTGTTTTTGCAATAATTTAGATAAAAATGCATAACCTTTTTTTTATTTTTTCTTTAGTGTTTAGTCATGTAACTAATACTCCCTTATTAGTCTATTTATTTTAGCATGACTTAGTACTTTTAGATTATGTTTATTTTTATTATAGCTTTTTAATTAGCAATATTTATATTACATAATTTTATTGTCTTTATTGTTGAATATTTTAGGATAATGCTATGACAATCTCATATTTTATATTATTTTCTTGAAAAATATTTTATATAGTTGTATATTACTAGGATTAAAGAAATATTTTAAGCACAAGTTATATGCTTTGTTCTACGAAGATTTTACCTGAAAAAACCCCGAAAAAATTCGAAAAATCCGAGAAAACCCGAGAAAAATCGAGATTGAAAACCCCGAGTTTTGTTGTTTTGGTTTGGTCTTTAGATGTAATAAGCCAACACAATTAATTTGGTTTGATAATTGTAAAATCCGAATCAACCCGACCTATGTACACCCCTAAATGCAAGTAGAAAGCAGCGGCCGCCTAGGGGGATAGTAGGGTCATTTCGACGCGGAATGGCCCTTAGCTTAAGCCACCGTCATCGTAAGCACAAACTCTCCCATTATGGAATGTCTCTCCACTTTTTGTTCAAAACATCCACGACCTTTGATTTTCCACAAAGCAACCCCTTTTCCAACTTAATTTGGCATCTTCCCATAAGCATATCCCCTCACTTTGATTATTACAACAACCAAAAGGATAGACATTAGACTCCACTTAGGTTAAAAGTTGCTTAACGGCTTAAATATCTCACCCAACTCACTCATTTGACCCAAGTTAAACAATGCACCATCCACCTGGTTTAGTGTAATTGTATTTGACCAACTACAAAGTTTAAGATATTAAAATTAATTTATCTATTGTTAGTGATAGTGAAACAAAATATCAACACAATATTCATAAGTTAGTTAATAAGGAAAATGTCACATCATTATTTAAGATTTAATGGTATAGTGTAATTGAATTCTTAAAGTGATTAACATTTCAGAAATATAAGATGATGTCAACTTTATAAGAAATAAAAATGTTAGGCATTTTGAAATACTGGAAAAAGAAAATTGTGTTATATAAATTGTGAGAGAGGATTCGGAAGAAATAATGAAAGCTGCTCTTGAAATTAAAAGCCAGTAATATTAATTTAGAGATATTAAATTTGAGTTCTTTATTGAAGTGTTATATTGTGCATGAATGTGAACTAGTTTTGTACAGATACGGTAGCTGTCGTGTTCTTGAGATAATCGTCCTTCTCTCCTCCCTCAAATTCCCCTTATTGTCCTCCTCCTCTGTTTCTTTCTTTTTTTAATATACTCTAATATCTATTTTAATATCGCTTTGAGTTCACGCTTACCAAATTATTAATCACAGATGTTAACTAGCTATATGGGTTTCCTAAAATCTTGGTAAATTTTGATTGCGTGAAGGGCATGTTTGGCTCCTGAGAAAATTGGAAGCAACTCTTTTCTTGGGTTGAGCATGATCCTTATGTAATTCTCAGAATTTATGATACTTTCGGTTTACTTCTTTCGGAATGCTGATGCTGATGCGGATGCTTTTACACAGCTAAAGTTGAATAAAGTTGCTCTGAAATTGGTGCAAGATTGAAGGTAAAGAAAAGCGGAAATATCTGAATTTAATAATCTCAGCAAAAAGAACATTGGATCAGAAGAAGATCGAATTGCCACAAAACAAGTATATATTCTACTACCCTTTTCCCTCTATTTTTGCCTACTACTACTGTTCTTATTCTTTGCTTTCTGAGCTGTTGATGCATAACATGTTGCTTTAATCAAGTTGTTGTGTGGTGGTATATAGATTAGATGGAGTTAAATAATTGTGAGATATTGAAAGATTGAATCTTTTTTTTTTCTACTGTTCTGAATATGCAAAATAACAGAGAAATGGCAACTCAAGTGGAGCCTCCAAATGGAATTAGGCCTCGAGGGAAACACTATTACACAATGTGGCAAACTGTATTTGAAGTTGACACAAAATATGTTCCAATTAAACCTATTGGAAGAGGAGCATATGGTGTGGTTTGTTCCTCAGTGAATAGGGAGACTAATGAGAGAGTTGCTATCAAGAAGATCAATAACGTGTTTTCGAATAGAATTGATGCGCTGAGAACACTAAGAGAATTGAAGCTTTTGCGGCACATTAGGCATGAGAATGTGATTGCTTTGAAGGATGTGATGATGCCTATTCATAGAAGCAGTTTCAAGGATATTTATTTGGTTTATGAGTTGATGGATACAGATCTTAACCATATCATTAAGTCGTCGCAGCCTTTATCCAATGACCATTGCAAGTATTTTCTTTTTCAGGTATTGCATAACTTGTGAACTCATTACTGTTTGTTGTCATTACTGCTTTTACTCCACATTAATAACTTAGTATTTCTAGTTCCCTTTTATGGTAAGTTTTTGAGCACTTGATTGAATTTTTATCTTTTTGATGTTTAGTTGTTGGTTGCATTCAGGATTCTCAGTTTTATCTGATAGGAGTGATATCTAGAGGGGGAAATGAAGGGGGGAAGAGAGGAAAGAAAGAAAAAGAAGTCTACCTTCCGTAGCAAAAAGTTCATACTTTTTTGATAATTTACTTGTATTAAGCAGACCAATGAGTAAAATGATATCAAGTTGCTAAAACTTAACTAGCTATATCATTCTCCTATTTGGCTACCTTTTGTTGTCAACTGACAAGTAACTCGTGCGTACTCCTCTATCTTGTTTTAATGTCTTTAACTTCATGAAACATATAGCGCTATAACTTCATACTCCTTAATGAGCATATTCAGGTGGCACTTATTAAGGTTGCTGGTTGAAAACTTGTAGTTCCTACTGGTTCTGCAATTTATACAGTGTAGAAGCTGTACGTAGAATTGAATGTTGTCACCGTTGAAACATTTATTCAGAACAAAATTAGTTTCATCTCATTTGGGTCCTTTTGTTAATGAAGTATGCTGGAAAGATCTATAATGTTCTATTGAAAACAACGCTTGAAAATTCTGTCTCTAATTGTACATATCTTCGTTCTTACTTAAGAAATCTCAAGATTCAAGAGTGCTAAACATTAATAAAACATTCATGTTTATGCATTATATGGTAATCTAAGAAGTCATTTAGATGTTAACTTTTGAGAAGACTATTCTCCTTTTGCACTTGTCCGGTGGAATTTTGAGTAGTTAAGAATTTCATAAAACTTGGATTGTAAGCTGGAAAGTACTCAAACTGTGTTATAATTTTTCAGTACAAGGTAAATGAAAATCTAGGAAGATAAATAATGTTTAAAATATGGCATCTATGGTGATATTTTCTGCTAAATGAACCCTGCTTTAAAGCTTGATCTTGTCTTGGATGTGTATCTTTTGAATATTCACACTGTGCATCATGCATTCATGGCTATAGAATGAAACAACACCAGTTTCCGCAAAAGGGAGATGGTAAATTATGTATGTATTAAAGGTAGTAAAAATTGGTTTTAAAACTTCGAATCTGAGAGATATATAAAGATCATCCTCTGCACAGCTTCTCTGTCTGTGCCAAATGAATGACGGGAAGAAAGTATCGTGGTCACTAGAGACATTGCGATCATGCTATTCTCTTGCTAGCACTAATCATCAGTGTATCAGAAGTCTAAAGCTTATATTAAGCAAGCTTGATATTATTACTGCACCTTTCTTGATATTTTTCTTCATCGTTCTACTGCATATCTAGCTAACATCTTTTCCTGTCATTGTATAGCTCCTTCGTGGCTTGAAATATCTCCATTCAGCTAACATTCTCCACCGGGACTTGAAACCTGGGAATCTCCTTGTGAATGCTAACTGTGAGTTAAAGATTTGTGACTTTGGACTGGCTAGGACTAGCAGAGACAATGGGCAGTTTATGACTGAATATGTAGTCACTCGTTGGTATCGTGCACCAGAGCTCCTTCTTTGCTGTGACAATTATGGAACATCCATTGACGTCTGGTCTGTTGGATGTATCTTTGCGGAAATCCTTGGACGGAAGCCTCTCTTCCCAGGAACTGAGTGCCTTAACCAGCTTACACTTATTCTCAATATCCTTGGTAGCCAGCCGGAAGCTGATCTCCATTTCATTGATAACCAAAGGGCGAAAAGATTCATCCGATCACTTCCTTTTTCGCGAGGAACTCACTTTTCTTCTCTCTTCCCTCAGGCTGATCCTTTAGCAATAGATTTATTGCAGCGAATGCTGGTTTTTGATCCCTCTAAGAGAATAACAGTTACAGAAGCTCTTTATCACCCTTACCTATCAAGTCTTTATGATCCAACGTGCAACCTTCCCGCTCAATTCCCTCTTAATCTGGATATCGATGAGAATATGGCAGAACCATTGATTCGGGAGATGATGCTGAGAGAAATCCTTCATTACCATCCTGAAGCAGCTTACATCAACACATTTTACTAGTTTCTGTCTACTTAGACTATTTTCACATCTGCTTGGGACACAAAAGTAGAGGACCTAAGCAAAGAATAGTAAGTTAAACCTTTTTTGATTCTGTATTATGAGAAATATACTCAGTTAAGTCGTTTTGTGCACTTGGAATCATTTGGAGCAGCAAGGTGATCAATATGAGGATCACTTTAGGTTATAATTTGGTGACTTCATTTCATCATCTTTACTTTTATTATTATTACTCCATCATGTGATGATGGGAAATATTTTTTTGGTGTGTGTTGATCTGAGGACTAAATCAGGCAACCTATTCATCCTGTTTCTGGACCCTGGACTAGACTTCTTCTTGTAAGCTGTACATAATTTATGGGCTAAGCTTCCCATTTTATTTTCAGCTTGAGTCTAATTAGCCTCATTGTTCCAGTGATCCATCCCCTATCCTTCATTGGTGTCATGCAATGGTCTATTATTGGCTCCAAAGCATTCTCCATTATTACTGTCATTATAACATTGGGTAAGAGAGAATATTCGGTGTGAAATAATTTGTATACTATCAGGTTATCTAAAAGATGACTACAAATATTGATGGTAAAAGTTGGGATTAGTAACAGGAAAAGTAAGCATGTTACCTACTACAACGGTTTAACATACACTAAACATTGTAAAAAATCTTTATATTGTTAGAGTATTGTTTGACCAAAAAGTTTTAAGCCTTTTTTGTTAAATCAATTTAAATAAGAAGACTTGGGGCAAATCCTAGCCAGAGACAATTTATTCTAGATCTGAGATAGAAGATAGGAATAAACAAGCATAACTGAACGTAAAACTTGATTACAGTTGTGATTGAATATCAAATGTAAGAAATAGATGATTATTCCAATAATATCAAATGATAATGAAGAATACATAAATGAAAAGAGTCACCATTCTTGAGCAAGACCGACTTCCGTACATTTGATAAAGTTAAATTATAGATGAATACTCAGATTCTAAGCACTTATCTCCCTTATATCGAGGAGACTGAGATTTTGGGAATATCTTCACTTTTTAGAGAGATGTATATGTTTTTGTGTGTGTGTTCCTATCAGCCCTTTTTGTCCCATACTCTCATGATATTTATACCAAACACATTCCTTACCCAGCGATCCTTAACCGGGGTACCTAAGTTCTTGGAATATCCCGTGGAATATTCCTCCAAAATGTCTTAAGTGTTGAACTAGCCGTTCAGGCCGAATCGAGTCTCGACCTCGACCATGACTGAATCACTCGCCGATATATTGCTTCCTATACGGGACCTCGGCTTGGTTGACTCTTGATCGTTCTTCCTTAAGCAGAATTCTTTCATTCAGATTTTGACCTATACAGTTAGTCCCTCCGCCCGTCGGGGTTGCCTTTGGGCGAGCTCGATGGGCAAACCAGTTGCACTTTTTTGATACATCTGAGCACATTGGCCGAAGAGCGATTTTCCCTTCTTTTTTTTGGCGCGAGACGGCGACGTGATGCTTTAGGAGCCACACCTGACTGTTACATCAGTTTAAAATGACATTGTTTCTTCATGTGTCATTATGGCGCACGTTCCTCATACGTTACATCGTTTCCTCGCTTCTTCCGTTTCGAAATTAATGAGGCGACGTTTGGGCTTTCTCGATTGGGTGCCTATATTCTTATAAATAGAGATAGGCACTCCTCATTTGAATTGTTGTATTTTTAGAGCCTTTGAAGCCCAAGTTCTTTTCTTCTTCAAGTTTCTAGCTTCTGTGATTTCTTTCCCACTTCAGTATCTTTTGCTACTGTCATCTCCTTTATCTTTATATTTCTTTTTCGCACACAACCAGAAAAAATGGCCAGTGCTTCATCTGACCCTGTGACGTCGACTGCGGATGCACCTCCTCATGAGGAAGGGACGGCCATGGTGGAAGATGAAAACTTCCCCACCGTGGACGAGATAATCCCACACTCCGGGAAGGCTAGGTCAGACTTCAAAAACCTACCTGAGGATGAACCTGAACCTGTTATTTCTACGATGGATGCGGCGGCGATTACTGCATTTAGGACTATGTGGCAAATCCCGGCCCATGTTGAAATCGTTCCCGCTAGTAGCGATGTAGTACAAGTACATCGCCTAGGGTACTGCGCATTTTACGCGTACCCATTTGTCGTCGGCTATACGGTTCCTCCCCCTTCCTTGGCGGAGGATTTTTTCCGTTTTTACAACACACGCCCGGCTCAGCTCTCTCCGTGTATATACAAGCTTTTCCTTATGCTTATCAAATATGCGGAGCTGTCCAGCCGTGGTATTTATCTACGCCATGTGCTTCACCTCTTCGCTCCAAGTTTTCACAGGGGAACGATGATTCATATGCATCATCGGGGGACCAAGGGATTGGTGGTGAAGATGGACGATAAAACTAATCGTCGTTTCTGGGAAAATTTCTTCTACGTGAAGACAGCGCACGTGGTATCGAACGCTAGCGGATTCCCCGAGGAGTGGAACTTTGCTCGTAAGTGTTACCCTTCTAAAATGACCGGCTTATTTTGGGGTAACCTGATCGTTCTCTTTCTACCTTTGCAGCCGAACGGGAGCCTCCGTTACCAGTTGCTGACACTCGCGACTGGGTGAGTCGGATTTTTCCCCACACTGTGGGGATTCGTGAGTGATCGCACTTCAATGAGAAGTTTGGGCGTAGACCTGTGGCCGGTGAGTCGTCTTTGGCTTTAATCGCTGACCTTTATACCGTCATTTCTATCTTCTTATCTCTTTCTTTATAGGTCGGAGGACCTCAAAGAGGGCGAGGGCTCCTACGCCTGTTTTTCACCAGTTGGGTATCTCTGCCGAGCTTGTACTCGCCTTGGTTGCAAGTGGGCCTGCTCAGGGCGCTGCTGTTTCGCTGAATACAGCTTCACGCGGACTTGGCCGCTTAGATGCTCCTCCTCAGACGGGGATTTCGGCCCCCGCAGTTCATTTGGTGGACGAATTGTCAGAGGGCGAAGACGAGGAGGCTCCTTTAATGAGGCGGAGGATAGTGGCTGATGGAGTGACTAGGACCGAGGGGCCTTCGAGGGGTAAACCCGTGTTGGCGGTGTCCGAACCGGGTGATGGCACTAGTTTGGGCGTGGAAACCGTGCCTCCTCTGGTTGCGGAGATAGCTCCCTTAGAAGGGGGACGGAGTTCGGGGGCCGTTGTGGTTGTTCCGAGTGGTCCATTGACTTTACAACAGGCATGTGCTCCCTCTTCGACCAGCGAGAGGGCAAAGGGCATAGTCGCAGATGACTATGAATCCGGTTCAGACATTGACCCTGAAGACATACGCATGTTTGAGACGGGATTCACTCGGGTGGAGGCAGGAACGGATGATTCCTCCCACGTGCTCGAGATCGCTCCGGAGTGCGATTTGTTGGAGGACACGGTGAGCCTGGTGCCCCAATTTGCCCTTCTTTGTTCTGCTACTGAAAGCAGGGCCCTTTAGGAGATCAGCGATGATGGCTTATCGCGGGGCGTAGCCGGAATGGCTTTGAGGATGAGTCTATTGCTTTCTTTGTTTTACATCTTCTACTCTTGCTAATTTTCTCTTTCTGTTCTCTTTTCTTTCTTTAGACTTTCATTTTGGAGACTGAGAGTATCCGCCGCGAGGAGAGGCGGGCTGCCGCTTTTCAGAAAATGGCTTCAAAATACCACCAATACCGTGATAAGTGCCGTGAGATGCATGCATGACTCAGGGCGGGCGACAATCCTCGGTCCCTTAGGGAGGAGTTGGAGCGTAAAGACGAGGACCTGATGCGGTCTATGGGCAGATGCAGCAAACTCAAGGGGCTGCGTAGGGCTTAAGAAGAGGAGCTCGAGGTGGGAAAGGGTGTTGCAGTTGAGTGTGTAGTTCTTCAAGCGAAGGTGGTGGCCCTGCGGGCAGAGCTTGAGCAGAGTGACGCTAGGGTCGCCGGTTTAAGTGTTGAATTGGCGGAGAAGGTGACCGAATTGGAAGGGAAGGCGACCGAGCTGGAGAGGGCTGAGGGAGCCCGAGTAGCGGCCTTGGCGAAGGCTGCGGCGCTGGAAGATTCTATCTGTGTTCTCAGGTCTGAACATGCCACTGAGATGGAGACAGCCACTCTGAGGGAGGCGCGGCTTGATTAGCGAATTGGCGAGCTTCAGAGGGACGTCTCGAGCCTGGGGTGATCAAATTACTGCTCTTGAGGCGGAGTGGGCACAATTGTTGGCTTTGACTCTTCCTGCGCCCGCCTCTGTTGACGTTCCTCACCCTTTGTACGAGATGTGGGTCCACGCTGAGACTCAACGGATATATAAGGCCTTTTTGGCAGCAGGGAATGTCTCTGAGGCCGCTTTCGAAGAGGTTCGTGTTAAAGCGCGTGAGGTCCGACTTGCCTGCGGCTATGACCCCGCGAAATCCAAGGTTGGTGGAGACGATGAGGCCGAGGACGGGCTTTCCTTTGATTATGGGCGACCAAATAGGGTGCCAGTGTAATTTTTCCAACCCCGTCCTCCTAAAGCCCAACCCTCCTCCCCTTATCGGTACCCGATTGATCGAGTCCAATTCCCAGCTAACCCGGCCCACTAGTTTCTTCATATCACTTCAATCAATGCACAATTTGTTTAACCGCATTTATTATGTATTGAAAGATTAGTCTTATCTTGTTTATTGTCTTCTACTACGATCTAACAAATAGTTTCTCATAGTAATAGGGAAACACAATTAATTATATACCGAATAAAAAGAAGATAAGTATTTCCAATCCAAACAAGCATCACTTTATTTACGTATAGTGGAAATAATTAAGAACTTCAAGTTGTTGGCTAGGCAACGTCACAAAAAGGAACTCAAGTTCAGATACAAGACAGAGAACTCTTTGTCCATCAATCACTAAAAATAATAATGTTATCTTTATGATGAATGAAAACGAGAGTAGCTCTTATTTAACGAGTAAAGAGAGGATCATATTAATTAATTTGAAAATCGAGCAGCTTGATTGACGAATATGCTTATTGTGGTACTTTAGTTGTGGAGAGTGACACAAAAAGACATGTACACAAAGGCAGAAAAGAATGAAAACAAAAACGATTGGTCAACACCAAAGCTTTAATTTGTTTTATGTAAGGGTGTTCATAAAAACCCGAAAAATCGAATCAAACCGAAAACCAAATCAAATCGACCAAAAAAACCGATGCTTTTTGGTTTGGTTTGGTTTTGGTTTTGAATTTTAAAAACCGATCAAATTTGATTTGGTTTTGGTTTTAGTCAAAAAATAACCGAAAAAAACCAAACTAAATCGACTATATGAGCAGCTATTTCAAATTTATTATTACACCTATATATATGTATATTTTTATACAAAGCTTCAAAAATTTTATGGTGAATGTTAATCGTTTGCACTTTTAGTACAGTTCTTTAC